TTTCCCTACTCGTAACACCTTCTACACGTTTTACCTACACTAATGAAGAGGAATAAACAGATCACTTGACGTTTAAGGAGTCTTGAAGAAATGCATAAACCAATCAAACTGACAACCAATACGTTACATTAGATGGAACTGGACAGAGGAAAAGTGAGCTTGCTTGCAGCAGAAAGGAAAAAATAACTCACAAAGGATGTTTCCAATACCAGTATTAGGTTAAAGACATCAAATCCAGAATTACAGCCAGATATAAATCCATTAGGGAGAATTTGTTGTGTTCTCAAGAGAAATCAGTTTAAACAGTCAATCATCTTCATTAAACCAAGCATGAGGAATTGCAATGCTTGAGAATAAATTCACCAAAGAAAAATCCCAAACATTTAGATGAGCATACAAAAGTCCCACTCATTTTACCACCCTTACCTGAGGGCAAAGTTTAACTTCCAAAGAGTAATACTTTAGGAGATGTCATACAGGTAATACCTACCTAGCAAATTAATGCCATCATTTACAATGAGCTGTCCGTGACGCAAATAGTTCAAAATTGGCTCAAAATACTCTGGACTGCGGTCAATTAGGAATGCTCCTCTATGATCTTGCTTATTTCCCCAAGCATCTGTTTCCACAACATATATATAATTAAATTTGATGTAGTAATAGAAGAGCATTTGCTTCAGTTTCAGAATTTTATTACCAAAGGGGACTGGATTATGAAACATTCCACTTGAAAGGGTGTTTCTTAGAGAACAGGAAGGAAAAGAGGAGTGTGAGGGGGCAAATCATCTTAAAATGAGCTTGTTCCTCCTGCTATAAAGAACTAAAATGTTTTATCAATCACGTACATACGAATTTTTGCTCAAATCAAAGCAGAATTAGGATTTTAGTCTGTCCCCATTTCCTAAAGGCTCTTGTGCAGCGTTTGCTTATTGATTTCGTTGACAAAATTGAGCAAGATGCAACAATAAGATGAAAACTTAAAATCAAAGACCCCGAAATATTACCTATGGATGGAAGTTGTATTTTCAGTTTGGGAGATAAGCATTACATGGGCAATGGAGAAATAATTATTTAAAAAAGATTATACGTTCTGCTATGATACTTCAATATACTGTTGACAATTGAAATCATGAACAAGAGTCTCAACTTGATAGTGCTTTTTGCCTACTTTGCTAATTTGTTACTTAAAAAGTAAAGCTTATTTCAATGTACTAACCTTTATCTTTAAACATGTGGGCCAACATACTGTCAGGTTCTTTGTTAACCAAAGTGCTCCTAGAAAACAAAGGCAGCACAATTTCAGTGACTGTTCTGCTCACAAGACAAACTTGGGGCTTCTTGTGTATTTTCTGCCCTTGATGGCCTGAAGGCAATACTGGTGTGTGATACACATTCCAACAGCTACCATGCTGTCCTGAGTTAACTTCATATAGTGGGATAGCAAAATACGTTTCTGACCTGATGTATCATATTTTAAATACAAAGCACTTAGTTAACTGAAATATTCCAAGGATAAATCCAGGCCTGTTCAGGCTTTTCACCAGTTTTACTTCATATGTAAAACTAAATCCAAAAAACAGAGAAAGCGTCAGAAGACCTCCAACTCTATGCTGTTCTTAGCTCTTTTGCAAGAGCATCTGAAGCCTCAGCCACTGTTACAACCTATTCACTGAACTCAAGTCCTTTAAGAACAAACCCAACTAGTTGCAGTTTTACCGTGTAGTGGTGAAGTATCGGCCTCCAACATTGAGTGTTAACCAGTCTGTGTGGGACCCTGTCAGTCCTTCATGAGGTCTCCCATCAGTCTGAGGATCTACACGGAGGAGAAAGACACAGTAATTCTTAGAAAAATGGTGACTATTTCTGAATCCTCCATATGGTAAGAAAACACCAGAAAATAAACTTTTAGATTTACATTCAAGCAAAACAAAACCTCTTTCCATTAAACGAAAGGTTAAGAGAATAAGAATTAAGAGACTTACCAATGAATGGCTCCCCTTCACAGACAAACAGAACATCATCATCCCTGAGAGAGGAAGAGGAAAAATAAGATTGATCATGATTTCTTCTTCATCTCCTTCACAGTGGGAACCCCTCCTGATCTGCTTCAGGCAAATGATAATCAGTTGCCATTATTTAGAACTGCAGTATCTGATTTCCATCTCTATTTTGCAGGTTCCAGTGGATTATAACGTGACTGACTTCACTGGAGATGTTATCTGAATCAGCCAGGTAGGCATCATTTTAGTTTTACAGAATAGTTTCTTTTCTCCCCACTCTGGGAGTATTTATTCTACAAAGCCCACGCAATGCTGGAGTTTGTCTCCTTTTTAGAAAACCCTCATCCAAGTGCAGACTAGAACACTGGGATTTTCCTGGTACATACATCACACCACGAATCAACTCAGGGGGATGTTAAAAGGCATAAAATGCAGCTTCAATCAGTATCAAGTTCTGATTCATCAAGACAGAAATGCTTTGACGTTCAAAAGACAGTATTATTTTTCCTTGAGGCGTGAAAGCACCTTTGGGCACACTGGCTGGGAATGATACTCTCTTTTTAAGGAAAGCTGGTTCTTGATTAAGGCCAGAGGATTAATAGGCCAGTGAGTCTCTTAATCCATACCCGTGATTTGACTTCCATTGGCTAAGCCTTACCTAATCAAAGCGATATCATCAATGAGTCCACCTTTTCCATTGTAAACACTGGTCGCTTTTATTCCAAGCTTATTACTAGCCACAGACAGCAAATCTGATAAAGTCCCATACACAGCCACAACCTGTGGGAGAGAGAAGTAGCTGCAGGCTCTGTGTTCATATGGCTTCTGTCAGTTCACACTGATCACCGGGTGATCAGTAGCTTCTTACAGAGGGAGGAAGATAATGTACAGATCTTTACAATAAACAGGAAACAAACTGACCAACTTTGATGTCAGAAGCAGACCCACCTTAAAACAGGGTGACCTGCACATCTCTCACCACAAGTCAAGGTACTTGAGGTGGCAGTGAGAGAATGAGTGTTGGTACTGTATTATGATTCAGTTATTTATTCCTCTAGTCCCATTAACTGTCTTCACTCCAGAGATGTGGATGGGAAAAACTGGGGACCATGGGTAGCATTTAGTAGAATGACAGGGCCTTTTCCCATGCTGGTTGTGCCTAGAAGCATCACTATTTTCCCTTTTGAGACAATACTTCATAGGTTTTAAACACACAAAGAGAGTTTAAGCAGGATTATTTGCTGGCTCTCCAGCAGCGTGCGGATGCAGCGTGAGTTTGACATGGCAGAGGCCTGACATCCTGCAAGATAAAGACTTTCCTTAGGGTCTGACCTAGTAACTTTTGCTTGAGGAAGAATATATTGCAGCATATCAGACTGCACTCCCACCTTTACCAGACACACACAAAACCCCCAGAAACGCAGGACATCCTGCACTATCTGAAATGATCTGCTGCAAGGGCAGCAAGCAAAAGCCTGTAATAAGAAACTGAAAGTCTATTATTCAATATGCTTGTGTCATATCGTACAGTAACCAAAACCTCAGAAGCAAAGGAGGCTTTAATGCGGGCACATTATTGCACCTCGTTTGGGGGCTGGAACTAGATGATCTCAAGGTCCTTTCCGACCCAAACCGTTCTGGGATTCTATAAGGAACCCTGGTAATGGAATGGGAGCTGAGCGGTCCGCGCAGTGCACGGTAACACGTTACACAGGGAAAATAAGTCCGTTTTCCTTCTGCTTCCAATAGAGACATTTCGGGGAGGGTCACAGTTCCCGATCGCTTCCCACCGTTCCCCAGGACGGGCGTGGCGGGACCTGCACCAGCAACGTGACAGCGACCCGGCGCTGGTTTAACCGCGGCTCCCGGCGTGCGGCGGTGCCCGATC